TATTTAAGGAAGGAAGGCAGCAAATGTTGTACATGCTGGTTACAGTGCATTTCTCTCTGAAATTCTGAAGAAAATGGGTTGTTCCAGACATTGTTCAGAAGAACAGCGTACCTTGATTAAAAAGTTGATTGGAGAGGGGGAAAACATATAAAGAAGTGCAGAAAATGATAGGCTGCTCAGCTAAAATGATCGCAAATGCTTTAAAATGGCAACCAAAACCTGAAAGACACGGAAGAAAGCAAAAAAACTACCATTCGAATGGATAGAAGAATAGCCAAAATGGCAAGGACTCAGCCAACAATCAGCTCCAGGGAGATGAAAGCAGGTGTAAAGTTACCTGTGAGGACTGTTACAATTAGAAGACGCCTACAAACACTGCTATTTTTTTTGAACCGTCTAATATTCACTTTTCTTCAATTTTTTTAGAGGAACAACACAATTTGATATATTTTTTCTTCATGTTTTGATTTGGAATAGAATGTGTAGTGTTCCCAATGCATTTGTGTGTATGGAAATAAAAGCTTTTAGAAGGATTTTGAGCTTTATTCACTTTTTTCAACACACTATTATTTTGAACACAACTGTACATCAGTTTGCTCTCCAGGCATTGCAGTAGTGTACCAACCTGCCGCTCCCTCATCTGTTCGTAATCTGGTGATCCTGGACCATGCCTGCTTGTAATGCTAAAACACTATTCTTGCTGCCTTTCACACATGTACATTCCTATGGTAAAATAGAAAATAAATCCGTACTAGGATGTTTCCTATCACCACCAATCAAATGTACACTTGCCTTGAACGTTTCAGGGATTTCCTTCCTACTGACCCTGTGGGATGTTCATGCAGTGCATTCAAGGACTACTTTTAAAGCGGTTATATATAGGGTAATTTATTTGTTATTTAAATTAAAATATTAAACATGGCATAATTAAGCTGGCCATAGATCGAAATGTGGCAAGTTCAGCAGGAATTAGCTGAATTTTGATCCATCTATGGACAGGCTGGTTGTGCTGATGTTGATCTAAAGATTTGACTTCAGTACAACCAGCTATAGCTGTCAGCAGTGACAGCGGGAGGTTTTCCTGCCATCAAAATACAATAGGGATTTCCCCATCAACATTGACTGTGTTGATGGGAAATCAAGCGATTTGCTATTCCGCCAGATTAACAATGCTGCTGTCTGCTGTGCCCCTGTGTTCCTTCATCCACAGTGGGGGCACTCTAATACAGGAGGTTTGTTAGCTCCAGTTCACACTGAATCGTACAGGAAAGTGCAATGCACATGAGATTCAGTGCAGTGTGATTTGAGCTCGTTCATTTTGATTGTGTTCAAATCACACTGCATCACACCAAAAGTAGTGCATGTAGTACTTTTGGAAACTCACTGAAGCCGGCTTGCATGGTACTTTTGTACCATATGATCCATCGCAGGCAAATGCACTGCATTTGGGATGTTGTTGACTTAACATTGACACCTACGGCAGATGGCAGCTGCCATGTGTTTTGAACACTCGTTTTATTGTAAAGCTAGATCACCTGGTGAAAACAGGAAAAAAGACTAAAAAAAAAAAAAAATGCAGCCACCACATCTAATGAACAGTAAGCTGAAGTATATAAAAGTTTTGGGTTTAATACAGCTGTAAGTTTTTTATAGTTGGGGCTGTTTTTTCCCATGAGCTCCCAAACATTTAAATACATTGGAGTTGATCTAAAGGCAAATAGACTGTTTAACTTTACAAGGAAATTTTCCTCAGCGCTCGGCTTTGCTGACTTTCATGAATTTTCCTTGCATATGATTGGGCATTCTTTTTAATGTGGAATTTCACCACTTTCACTGAGCTCTGGAGAAATTTTTGAAAGTGCACAGCTTAATTGGCTTTAGTAAATCACCCCCATTGAAGCTACCTGTTAACCCTTTTAGTACCACCGAGGTATGTCATACATTGGCAGCAGTGGGAGTTTTTTTTTTTTGCACACACTCCTGGCTTCTGCAGCATTCAGGAATGCTGAAAACATCACAAGTCACCTTTTGTTTTGCACAGACCTCCATCATGTTTTCCAGACTTTGCTTTTCCACTTGCAGGCCTAGGAAGAGGGGAGGGAGACCTGCGGATGTCCGATTTTGCTGATGAGGCCTTCACAAGAATTTTGTGCAGTGTTCTTGTATACACTGCATGAAAATGACTGAGGCAGAATTGTTTGTAGAGGTTCCCAAGGCACGTCAGGGCAAACAAGGAGGCTGAGGAGAGAGTCTGCCAAACGATACTGCCCCAGTGAGGTCTGGCGGGGCTGTTTGATCAGACGGTCCTTGTATCATGACTGTGGCAGAAGTTCCCCATTGTGCACCCAGGCATTGACGTCACTGAATGCTTACCAGCAGTGGCTGATCACACTCCCTGTCTGCACTGAATGTGGTAGTATAGCTTGTAGAAGAAAGCTCAGAGCAGAATGGCTCAGTGCCGAGGTTTCAGATTAGTCGCTCCGCACGAGGCGGTCACACATTACCAGTCTTGGGAAATACTGTTCAGGCTGCTCACCGAAAAAATGTTTACAGTTGGCACTTACTGGGGCTTCCCTTGGATAACAATTATTATACATTTTTATCAGTACAACAATGTCATTTTATGTCAACTTTGACACTTCAGGACAGCCCACACTGCACCCTCTTCCCACTACTAGTCCACCAGGGTGTCCTGCTGATGCCGTGAAGCCTCCAGCACAGAATGACAACGGGGAAACAGGCTGAGTTTTCCTCTGTGGAGCATCCAGACTCGGTGAGGGCATTGATAAGGTGCCAACACTCTTTCACACATGACTACAGACAGCTGCCTTTGTGATGTCCTGACCAATACAGGGCCTACTAAGGAGAGCTTCTGTCATGTCTACAAGTGTCAGAAGGTGAAGAAAACTACATGACTATCACGGACAGAAGGCGTAGTGAATTGCAGTAGCAAGGGTAGCTTGCTCAGTAACTACTCATTTCAAACATTTTAGGAACTGCCTGAAGTTTTACCTGATGATGGTGTCTTTTTAAATTCATAGTATCATAATACAGTGGTTTGAAAAAGTATTTATACCCCTTGAAATCTTCCACATTTTGTCATGTCACAACCAAAAACGTTAATGTAATCTATTGGGATTTTATGTGATAGACCAACACAACGTGGCACATAATTGTGGAGTGGAAGGAAAATGATAAATGGCTTTCAAAATTTTTTTACAGATATCTGAAAAGTGTGGCATGAATTTGTACTCTGGGCCCCTGGAGTCAATACTTTGTAGAACCACCTTTCGCTTCAATTCCAGCAGCAAGTCTTTTGGGGATGTCTGTACCAGCTTTGCACATCTAGAGAGGGACATTTCTGCCCATTCTTCTTTGCAGAATAGCTCGAGCTCTGTCAGATTGCATGGAGAGCATCTGTGAAAAGCAATTTTCAAGTCATGCCACAGATTCTCAATTGGATTTAGGTCTGGACTGTGACTGGGCCATTCTAACACATGAATATGGTTTGGTTTAAACCATTCCCTTGTAACTCTGACTGTATGTTTAGGGTCGTTGTGCTGCTGGAAGGTGAACCTCCGCCCCCCAGTCTCACGTCTTTTGCAGACTCTTAACAGGTTTTCTTCTAAGATTGCCCTGTATTTGGCTCCATCCATCTTTCCATCAACTCTGACCAGCTTCCCTGTCCCTGCTGAAGAAAAGCATCCTCACATGATGCTGCCACCACCATGTTTCACAGTGGGGTTGATGTGTTCAGGGTGATGTGCAGTGTTAGTTTTCCGCCACACAAAGCGTTTTTGCTTTTAGACCAAAAAGTTAAATTTTGGTCTCATCTGACCAGAGCAACTTTTTTCACATGTTTGCAGTTTGTGAGAAGCCATGTGGGGGACACAGCAAACGGGACTTCTTATGGCTTTCTTTCAACAATGGCTTTCTTCTTGCCACTCTTCCATAAAAGCCAGATTTGTGGAGTGCACGACTAATAGTTGTCCTGTGGACATATTCTCCCACCTGAGGTGTGGATCTCTGCAGCTCTTCCAGAGTTACTATGGGCCTCTTGGCTGCGTCTCTGATTAATTCTCTGCCCGGTCTGTCTATTTAGGTGGATGGCCATGTCTTGGTAGGTTTGCAGTTGTACAATAAACCTTCTGTTTTCGGATGAATGATTGAACAGTGCTCTATGAGATGTTCAATGCTTGGGGTATTTTGTTTTATAACCTAACCCTGCTTTAAACTTCTTCACACCTTTATCCCTGAGGGCTTCACAGAACAGCTGTATTTATACTGAGATTAAATTACACACAGGTGGACTCTATTTACTAATTAGGTGACTTCTGAAGGCAATTGGGTCCACTAGATTTTAGTTAGGGGTATCAAAGTAAATGGGGCTGAATACAAATGCACAACACACTTCATGTATTTATTGGTAAAAAATGTTGAAAACCATCTATCATTTTCCTTCCACTTCACAATTATGTGCCACTTTGTGTTGGTCTATCACATAAAATCCCAATAAAATACATTTACGTTTTTAGTTGTAACATGACAAAATGTGCAAAATTTTAAGGGGTAAGAATACTTATTCAAGGCACTGTACATAACAAGTGTCATCCCACAAATGTATTTTACCTCCTTTGCTCCAAAAACTATTTTCCCTAATGATTATTACATTGTAACTACCTGGTGACAGCCAATTCTAAGTAACCCCATCAAAGTGGCAATGGTGTGCCAGCTGATCATTTTTCTGCATTGCAACTTTTTGTACATTATCTAATTTTAGTGTTGGGAAGCCATGGGTTTCCTCCTAGCTCCCTGGCAAGCCTCAAGATGTGACACTCCTGCATGTCTTGGGGAGCAGCTCCATCATTGCGATTGACATTGTAGCACTTCCTTTCTTCTTCCCTGTTATCCAGCCCACATCACACTCATGAACATGCAGTTTTGTACCTCAATTCCATGTGATGGGAGAAAAAGGCCGTACTGTGCTGTCAATCACAACAATCGCGATACTTTGCACGGTGTGCAGGAGCAGGGGCGGACTGACCATTTGGAAACTCGGGCACTGCTTGAGGGTCCGGGGTCAGTAGGGGGCCCCATGAGATGCCCCTGGTACCTTTTTTCATAGGCTTTTTTGAGTTTGGGCAAGGACACGGGCCCCATGATCCCCTATTGCCTGGGGGCCCCATGAGTTGTCAGTCCGCCCTGTACAGGAGTGTCCCATGGGGCAGTTTGCTGTGAATCTAACTGACTGACCAGATCCCCAGTAGGCTCTGCAGCCCCAGGCACTCTGGAAAATTCTGTCCACATATTTCACAGTGAGTTGTGGAGAAAAAGGATAATGATCAAGTGACCAAGGTACAGAATGTTCAAGAATATTCCTGCAGTTCCATAGCTGCAATGTATTGTCCATTATTTTAGTTCTGTTATGCGCTACCATTAGGTGTAAACATGTGCAAGAGTGTTTACATATACTTTACTATATCAGCATAAAATGGTAACATGCGTTTTAAGGCAGTAAACTGCATGTCTGGATGAAAAAATATTAAATAAGTTTTTTTCCTATGTTTTTGCAGCATACTTCTCATGGAGAAGGACGACAAGATGTCCCTACCCGTCCTAGCCGTTCTGGAGCTCGAAACAGGAATTCTATCGCCTCGTGTGCGGATGAGCAGCCCCATATTGGGAACTACAGGCTGCTTAAAACCATCGGCAAAGGCAACTTTGCTAAAGTGAAACTGGCTCGGCATATCCTCACTGGCAGAGAGGTAAATCGGCTTTAGTCTTTGTTACTTTGGCAGAGCTGTACATAGTTCGTACTCGTTTCATTCACTTTCGTCCCCAGTACACAGAATGTTATGTAACTAGGAGTAGAGTGCATGCATATTTCAATGTCGCTGTGTGCTGGAATGTTACTAAAGCATGCATATTGTTAGGAGATCTCATTGTACATTCACTACAGCAGTCCATTTGTGATCCCCGTGTGGCTCTCGCTCCAGTGCACAATGAGCTTGTTTGCAGTAAAAGGTCAGGGCTAGAATCTGTTGGATCCAAGATTTTTGGCCTGCTTCTTGAGAATGTGACGCAATAGGAGGCTTGTTACTGTATTTTTGCTACTAAATCAGATGCTTCCAATAGAGTTGGGTATAAAAGGTCCCAGCAGCAGATTATGCAGGTATCTGAGTGCTGTGTTTAATTACAATGTAAGCAAATTTGCTATTTCTGGATAGCATTTTAAGGATACCTGTGACATAAAATGTACAGATTTGAGTAACTGAGAGGTGACCTGTAGCGATATGTAATCGTAAATGTAGTTGCATGCCTTGTCATTAAAGAAATATTCAGTCAGAGGTATTCAGAGACAGATGGTCACTAATTAGTATTTGAAGTGATCTAGCTTTCTCTGGATGTGACACCTAAGTGCCAGTACGATTTGTCTTTAATCAGACTTTGCCACCTTCCTGAAGTAAAAGAGGAAATGGCTGGAGACAGGTTTGCTTCATGACAGCAGGAGACTAGAGCTTTAAATTATATACATACATCAAAGGAGTATATTTCATCCCTCATACAAGCTAAAATATTAGTTGCAGAGAGATGAAAATACTTCCTTCTGATGGGGCACTCTGTGGGCTGCATCGGCATAGAAAAACTATATTTGTGGCCTATGTAGAATGCCAGGAAAATGCAGTAAATGGTTGTGGCGCTGGAGTGCGACAGCTGAACGGGGATTGGTACCGTCGCGATCGGACTGATGCGCTGGTGTCGGAAATTCAATCCACGACTTGGTGATTCAAGCCGGTCTTGGTCCGATTGACTTTGGGGCAGGTCAGAACCCAGAACATCCTGTGGGCGGGTACAGGAACACCCTCCAGGGTCAGTTGGCCAAGGACTAATGTCCCGCCTACGTCCATATCCCCATAAATTGAGTACCCGGACAGTGTGATTCGTATGGAGCCGGTTCTATTTGACTGACGGATTGCTGACTCTCTGACTTGCTCCAGTCGCAGGATAAATCTTGGTAAAAGTTTTTTATTTTTGTTTTTTATTCCCTTTTATTTTATAGTGAATAGTCATTTGTGCATCATCTTGTATTTTTTGTATTTCTGTAACTTTTTATATTTTGTATCTATTTTATGCACTGCCCACTTTCGGGATATTAAATTTTAAAATTGATTAGTGACTTCTGTGTATTTAAGCACGGGCTCATATCTTCGGAGAGATTATATTGTATTGTATTTTAGTGCCTTTATACGCTCGGTAAAGCTCATTGCCTATTTGTATGCAATTGCACTGCGTGTGGGCAGATTGCGTGCAGATTGTAAAGGTAACAGATCTGCCAGATAGAGATCTGTGTGTGTGGGGTGTCCCAGCAGACCGTTCTGCGGATAAACTGTTGGGTGGTGGCAGGCTACCTTTTATGGTATGTCTGGTGTGGGGGGGGGTGTGGCCAGTGATTAACACCGGGGTTCTAGCTGTAGGATAGCTGGAGGGATCCTAGAAGGGTGTGTGATTGCTAAGCTGCTCCTCAACTCTAATCTGTGCACCAAATTGTATAGAAGATTTGTATCTGCCAGTGTGTGGTCAGCCATCTGGATCGGAGTGGACTCCCCCCCGCCCCCCCCCCCCCCCCCCCACCCTCCCACCCCCGGTGGAGGCCAAGAGGAAGTGCGGGCTGTGAAAGTATATCACGGTTGGTCTTATATACCGTTTTATATATTCAAAGTTAAGTCCCCTTTATTCCCTCTTACCCCAAGTCATGGCTGCACGTGCATGCCTCGGTTAGCTAGTTGCTGTGGGCGTGGTGTGTGGGTGGGTGACCTGTGACAGACCTGTCACAACTCGGTAGGACTCTGTTTCAGTAGGACTGGGGTATGGTCATTAAGCTGTAGATCAATTTGAGGCAGTGGCTAATGGGAATTTATGCATTATGTAAGATGCTGTATAATTGGTGCTAAATGAGTAGAATATTTAATACGTGAGGCTTAGTACCACAGAACAATTATTTGATTTTCCTGCTCCCTGTCTTATAGTGGAATGGAATTCAGAAAGTGAAGATCTGCTATGCAACATCGAACATTTTAAAATGTTAGTTGTGCCTAAGCAGTTCCCTAAAGAAATCTACATTTTTCTTTGAAATTTTTACCCAAAAATAGCTGAGCAATTCTTGGTATGTTAGGGTACCTAGGCACTCCTGTGCTTACAGCCTTATGGCTGTATATCTGTAGTATGAGATCTAAGGCACTGCTGCATGTCAGTCTCTCCAGATGTGGAATGAGGTTTGGTGGTGTTGCTACTGTGCTGATCACTGTTCTCTTGCTGGAGGCTCTAATATAATTAAGAAAATCCCTTCCTCTACCAAGATGGCCACCTCCACATAGGAACGGTGCAGACAGAACAAGGCTTGGCAAGTCAGTGATGGGGGGGGAGATCGGCTCTGAGCAATCAAATGCAATACTGGTCACTGGTCCTTTGCCTTCTGTCTTTCTTTTCTTTTTTTTTCTTCTTTTTTTTTAAGCATAGATTCCAGATTTCTGTACCTCTTTAAAGGAGAAGTTCACCTTTGAAAAAAAATAAAATTAAAAAAAATAAGTGCACATCTTTTTGGGAGCCTGTAAAGCATTGCACCTGTGATCAGCAGATCGCTGGTGCAATGCAAGGCTCCTGCACACTGTCAAATAAGCTGTTAGCTGGTACCTTGTATGGGCAGGTAATTACACAATGAGAGGAAGAATCAATGAACTACTTTGAACACTCAACAGCACCCTGCTAGATCATTGAAAATGACAAGCCATCAGCCACAAACGCTGACAGTAGTTGTAGTTCCCCAATTCACAGAACTCAATGAATGATGCAGCCGGGGAGGGTGGAGCCCAGCACTGCTGTGTTGTGTGTGTGTGTGTGTGTGTGTGTGTGTGTGTGTGCGCGTGTGTGTGTGTGTTTATATTATTATTTTTAGTTTGGGTGCAGGGAGGAGATCCCCGACCCTTTGTCATAGGGAGGAGGATCTGAGGCTGAGAGCTACAGGCGCGGGAACATGTTACATGTTCCAGCCATTTTTAAGGTGGAACATGTAACACATTCCCAAAATTGAACTTATCTTTTAATATCAGAGCTCCGTTAATAGACTTTCACTGAGAATGGTACTCCTGGTGGCTCAGTGTGGATCACCAGGTAAAACCTTTTCTTTGGTTGTGAAGCAAACTGCCTGTTCCTCTTTATATCTGAATTAAAGTGGTTCTAAAGGCTCAAGGCTTTTTACCTTCATGCATTCTATGCATGAAGGTAAAAAACCTTCTGTGTGCAGCATGCCGTTGGCTCCCACCGCTGTTAATCGCAGCCAGTGAGAGGGGACGGGGCACACGGAGCAGCGGGTGGCCCCATAGCAAGCTGGGGGCACCCGACAGGAGGGAGGGGCCAAGAGAGCCTGCAGGGGACCCGAGAAGAGTAGGATCCAGGCTGGTTTGTGCAAAACCACTGCAGACAGCAGGTAAGTATAGGTATGTTTGTTATTTTTTCTTTAACTGCTTCTCGACCACCCTATAGCAGAACTACTGCTGCAGGGCTGCGCAAAATCGTGTGTATGTACGCTCACCGGGTCCCAGCTGGTGATTCCCCGCCAGCACCTGGTGATCGCCGGGGAACAATGACCGGGGAGAGGCCTGTATGCAAACAATACAGATCTCTCCCCTGTCAGCTCCAGCACATTGCTTTGCATTGCTCTGCATAGCAGAGCAATTAAAGCAGCATGCTGACACAGTAAATCACACAGCACACAGTTAACCCTTTGGTCGCCCCAGATGTTAACCCCTTCCTGCCCAGTGTCATTAGTACAGTGTCAGTGCTTTTTATTAGCACTGATCACTGTATTAGTGTCACTGGGGATTTCAGTAACAGTCAGTCCCCCCCCCCCCCCCCCCCCAGTGTCAGAATGCCTACTGTAAGTTGCTGATCGCAAAGTTTCCAAGTACAAAAAAAAAAAAATCCCAGTATATATACACACCGCCATTTGAAGACACTAACTTTTGCGTAAACCAATTCATATACATGTATTGGGATTTTTTTTTTTTTTTTTGCAAAGACATATAACAAAATACATTTTGGCCTAAATTTATGACGAAATTTGATTTAAAAAATTTTTTTTAAATTTTTTTTACTGAGTATGTTTTATAACAAAAAGTCAAAAATATTGTGGTTTGTTTTTTTTTGGTTTCTTTTTACCCCCTTCCTGCCCAGGCCATTTTTCAGGTTTCAGCGCTCTCACGCTTTGAATGACAATTGCGCGGTCATACAACATTGTACCCAAACTAAAATTTTTTTATCATTTTCTTCACACAAGCAGAGCTTTCTTTTGGTGGTATTTAATCACCACTGGGGTTTTAATTTTTTGCTAAATTAACAAAAAAAGACTGAAAGTTTTGAAAACAAAAAAAACAAGTTTTTCTTTGTTTCTGTTATAAAAGTTTGCAAATAAATAATTGTTCTTCATAGATTTAGGCCAAGATGTATTCTGCTACATGTCTTTGTGAACTCTATAACTTTCCTACAAACTAAATAATACATCCTAATTTGGGTTATTTTCACCAAACTATGGGATATATCTGAATATTGATCAATCCTGAAGTACTGACAGCCAATCTAGTTTCTTGAGGTCCAAGAATGTCAGAACAGTACAGATATCCCCCAAATGGCCTCTTTTTGCAGAATAGACAGTCTGATGTACTTCATATGAGGCATGGCGAGTTTTTTGAAGTTGTCATTTTTTTGTCATGATTTTTCGGAAATGAAGAAATAAAAATGATTTTCACTATTTTCTTTTTTTACATACTGTCACCAGTGCAGTACAGCGTCGTTATATAACTGACATGGCGGTGATCAGGGACACTGACTGGTGACAGTACGAAAAAAAAAAATTTATAATTTTTTTTTTTAATTTTTCTTATTTTTTATTACATTTTTTCTTTTTTTTTAAGATTTTTTTTCACATTTCACCATGACCAAAGTAGTATAATGTTACCATAGTAACATTGTACTACTTTGGGGAAGTGATCTATATTTTTTTTTTTTTACACAATTTGCTTATAGCAAAGAATTACTTTGCTATAAGCAAGCATTTACCTGAAATGAAATCGATTCATTCAGGATTTTTTTTTTTTCCTTAACTGTGATTTGGCCACAGCTAATCACATGACACAGTTGGGCTGTGATTGGCCCAGCTTGTGCGTGTGATTGCTGTGACCATTCACAGCTAACCACACTTGTATACAGTGGATGGCATGATAGGAAGCCATCCTTTGTATACAACTGTCATTTGCCCTGCTGTGATTGGTCACAGCAGGTCACATGGTACTGGCAACGGGGCCGGTACACAGATCTGTCATCGGCCGGTGACAGATCGCGGCTCTGCTGGCATGCAAACTGCGCATGCCTGGAAGGACGCCATATGGCGACCATCCGGAGGGATGAGGGTTTTTTCTGGTTGTCATTCGGCCATAGGCCGGGCGGGAGCCGGTTAATTTTTGCGCTATAAACAGAAAAAAGACAAACAATCAAATACCACTGAAAGAAAGCTCCATTTGTGGGGGGAAAAAAGGACACACATTTCATTTGGGTGCAGCGTTGCACGACCGCGCAATTGTCACGTTTTACGTAATGCATGCTGTATCGCAAAAAAAAAAGGCCTGGTCAGGAAGGGGGGTAAATCCTCTTGAGTTCATAGGAGCACGTAAACCCAGATCCTTAGTCTAGTCGCCATGGTGAAATACCACCATATGTGGGCCATTGTTCCCGGCTGGGAGCACCTGTGGAAGAAAGTCGATGAATATTGTGGAATTATACGGGCCAGCCGAACTGGTGTATAATACCAGCGGTATAGAACGTAATAGGCATTTTCTAGGGTGGTTACATTTCTGGAACTATTTAAAGCCGCTGGAAGCATAAGCTGCCAATCCTCCTCTGGTCTCCCTCTCTAAATAAAACAGCTTTGTCTAGAGTACCACTTTAAACGTTAATTGAACGTCTTTAGTATTTATCAATGGTGTTGATTGCATTGTCTGACCCATGGTATGGCCCCTTATAAAGTACTCATCTGTATTGTTATTAACATTGTTAGGTATGACACGGCAAGTTACAATCCCATGGAAACTTACTCTTGCTTTACTATAATCGCTCCAAATGTGAATGTACTGAACACACAGCAGTGTTTCCCTCTCATTCCCTGAGCTTTGGCTCTACTTTGCCTTCAATAACACCTCAATAACACTCTGTTCTGGGAAATGTCATTGTGTGCCCTGCTAATTGTTCTGATATCTAGTTACATTCCCAGGAAACATTGCTAGCTTTCAGGAGCTCCTTGTTTACAAAAATCTTTGCCTGAGGATTGTATTAGACCAGGTTTGCCTGTTGCGATGATCAGCTAACCTAGAACTATAGTGTGTGTATGTGTGTTGTTTGTTTGTTTTTCTTCTTTTTGTTGTTTTTTTTTTTTTGTTTTTGTTTGCACATGAATGAGATCAATGAGAACTGTATAGTGTGTTTAGAAAGCCTTTCAGGTTTCTGTTGCCATCTGTGTCATACTTGGAGAGATTTCCCTTTGCTGCTGTATACAGGGTACTACTACTTCATACTTGTGGATAGCTAAATGTTTTTATGAAGTGCATTTGATTTTTAATACTAATATAATAAAACTGATATTTTTATCTTAAAGCGGAGCTCCATCCAAAATGTGAAGTTCCGCTTCAAGGCCTGCTCCCCATTAAGGATTGGCACCTTTGGGGGGCGGGGGGGAACGGGAACCCGAATTTCACAGGTACCTGCTCCCACTTCCGGTCCGATCGGAAGGTGTGTCCTCCCTTCCTCCCTCCCTGTAGTTTTTTGGGACATGTGACAGGTCTCAGAAGACTACAGGACCATTCATGAAGTGCAGCGCTTCTCGCACATGCACATTGGGTACCCGGCTGTGCCACAAGCTGTCACAGCTGAGTGCACACACTGAAGATGCCGGCATCCTGGAATACAGGACGGCCGGTGAAATGTGCTGCAGGGGACACACACCGAGGGACAGATAAGTGGCTGTTTTTTAAAAGTCAGCAGCTACAGTTTTTGTACCTGCTGACTTTTATTTTTTGACAGCATGAGTGGAGTTCTGCTTTAAGGTGGTAGTAAGCTCTCCTCTGTGATTTTCTTCCTACAAGTAAGCCTTATACTAAAGCTTACCTGTAGTTAAAATGTATATTTCTTAAACATACAGCATTTAGGACAGTGGTCTCCAGATTGTGGCCCAGGGGCCAGATGTGGCCCTTTTGCGTACTATTATTTGGCCCTTGGGATACTATTTGTTTCCACTGATACAAACAGTGGGGGATAATTCCCCCACTGACACCATTAAAGGGGCAGAATAACTCCCAATGACAGGTCACAGTTCCTCCCAATGACACCAATGATGGGGCACAATTCCTCCCAGTGACACCTACAATAGGGCCCAATGACAGTAATGATGGGGCGCTATTACTCCCAGTGATACCAAAGACGTGGCATTATTTGTTCTGTGGAAGTCAGGACCCTTTCTACTCTCAAGAGTCCGGCCCCACTTAGGTCTGAAGGACCATAAACTGGCTTTGTTTAGAAAGTTTGGAGACCTTTGGTTTAGGAGACAGTCACTTGTTTGGCAGCCAGTGACATTGCATGCGCTCTGAAGGAACAGCATACTCATGCCATTCCTGCAGAGCTGTGTGCAACAGCCTTGTAGTGACATCATCGCAGCCTTGTAGTGACATCATCGCAGCCTTGTAGTGACATCATCGCAGCCTTGTCATTCAAGTGGCCAAAGCCAAAAAAAACCTTGAAGGAAGACTGGGTGAGAATGGAAACCTTGTCAGCAGTGACAGTACGCCGCTGGAGGGTTTCAAGGTTAGCCTTTCATAATATGCTTACCTAATAAGGCAAGTCTTCCATAATATCTCCACAAGGCAAGCCTTCCATAATATCTCCACAAGGCAAGCCTTCCATAATATCTCCACAAGGCAAGCCTTCCATAATATCTCCACAAGGCAAGCCTTCCATAATATCTCCACAAGGCAAGCCTTCCATAATATCTCCACAAGGCAAGCCTTCCATAGTATCTCCACAAGGCAAGCCTTCCATAGTATCTCCACAAGGCAAGCCTTCCATAGTATCTCCACAAGGCAAGCCTTCCATAGTATCTCCACAAGGCAAGCCTTCCATAGTATCTCCACAAGGCAAGCCTTCCATAGTATCTCCACAAGGCAAGCCTTCCATAGTATCTCCACAAGGCAAGCCTTCCATAGTATCTCCACAAGGCAAGTCTTCCATTATGTGCTAGTATACAATGCATACTAGCACATTAGGTTATTGCCTTGCAGGAGGATTTTTTTTGTTTTGTTTTCCTAAAGTTTCCTACCACTTTAACTTTTGTGTGAATTTTTTTTTTTCCCTGTTAAAGTGTTCAACAGCTTTAACCCCTTGCTGAGGACTATATGCAGATATGCGGCCTCACAGAAGTGGGTCTTTATCCATGAGGCCGGATATATGTGTACCTCTCTTTGTGCTGGGAGCTCTCTGCCCTCCTCCATCCACCACGCCCTGCATTCTGTGTCTCCACAGCTGTAGGATCTCACCTTCCAATCCATCCCGCTCTGTGCTCAGCGCTATCGCAGAAAGCCGCCACCTTCTTGTTCTGCTCCCGCCCTCTGCCCTACCCCTGGCCCCGCCCTCTGACTTTATAGGGGCCAAAACTATAGAGAAGGCATCAGTTATCAATGCGTGCTGATACTACTGACTGTCATTGCGCACTGCGAACAACACTGGAAACAGGCGGTATACATCAGCCATAATGTTGTTTTGTGGTGGAACCTTAGGGTTCTGTGCAACCCCCGGGTGAGAAACACTGACTTGGATATTTTTCTTTTATTAAAAATGATTGCAGGGTCATCATCCATATACAGAAAGAGAAGGGATAATGTAAATTAAACAGTGTGTTTAGTATCACTTTAAAAGTTGTGGTTTAGTAATAATGGCATGTGCCCTGCTAATTTGTCACATTTTAATTTCTCTTTTTTCTTTGCAGGTGGCAATAAAAATAATTGATAAAACACAGTTAAATCCAACTAGTCTGCAAAAGGTAAGTTATGATTTAATTTATGATGTAGAATTTTTTTTAATAGCCACTTTCCAGTGCTTGTATAGTAGAGGTAAAGAGCAGCATAGCGAGACTGTACCTGTCATTTGGAGATGTCATTCCTCAAAGGAGGAGTTATAAGGAAGGTAGGCTCTGATTGATTTATTTATTTTTAACCAGTAAAGGCACCTGCGTGTTTTAAAGCACAAAAGCTTTCAGTTAAATATATTCAAATATATTCCCCTATAGCCACACATGACATAAATCCAGCTATGTACCTTGTTTATATACAGTATGGTGGCTGTGTTCAGACCATCCAGATGTATTGAAGAAAAGTCCCAGTTAATCTGTGGAGTTCAGATACCATAATATCCTTGGCAAAGCCTTTTTCTTGCTACAGATACTCCCAAGAGATGAACTATGAGAGCTCCATAACACGACACCTGTTACATGCAGCAAAAGTATTGATACCTATCTGGAGGACAGATTATCACCAACTGTGGTAGAGTCAGTGGTGTATTTAGGTTTTGTGCTACCCTAGGCAACACAAAAATCTGTGCCCCCCGCAGAGAGAGCCTGACATTGACCAACAACACCCGACTCCCACCTGAGAGAGCCTTCTACTTCCACTGCCCCTCAAACACCAGCCACCATCCCCCATGGTGAGAGAGAGTGAGACACTCACCTTCACAGCTCGGGACATCCCTGGGAACGTTGGGCTGTGCGTACACCGTCATGAAACCCGCAACCTCTCTCGGAACCCACCAGGTCCCCATGCAGTGTGTGTCCCTTCTTTTGAATGGGTAGTGCTGCCCCCCTTGAAAAATGCCACCCTAGCCAAATGCCTTGTTTTCCTTGTGGTAAATACACCCCTGGGTAGAGTGGCTTGTGAAAGTCAACTCAATTCTCTTTATGGAGCATCTAATGCATAACTACAGAAACTCTTGGTAAATTTCATAGTGTATAGACTGGTTGGATAGAATTTAAAGAACAAAAGGTATACCGCTCAGGCAAACAATCCACAACAGGTGCAGGCTCTGGCTCGCCACCAAATACGATGCAATAGGAAGAAGGGTCAGCCGCACACCGGAGGATAGATGAATATAGTGTGTATTTATTGATCCATAGGACACACAACACCAGGACATGAATACAGGACTTGTTAAAGCGTTTCACACGATCTCGTGCTTAATCATATGATTGTGATATGATCCTTCTTCCTATTGGATAGAATTTAAACCGTATATAGCAACATACAGCATATGAGTAATGAGGATGAGAAGTAAAACCCACATAGTCGAGGAATTCATCATAAACGACACAGGATTTAAGAGTAAGGTAAATTACTTCAACAATTTAGTGGAAGTAGAATGAGAATGAAGTGGAATATATAAGAGGGGAGAGTCCGTTTTGGTAGGAGTACTACCTATTGGATGGAACAAGGGTTTAATGGGTGTCGATGACCACGAGGTGAATATAGGAATCCTTTCCACTGCGACGTATTTTGACAGCAGGTACACCCCCTGTAAGAATACATTGGTTATTGGGGAATATTTTAGCTAGCTTGAGTGGGAGGGGACATATATGGATCAAAGTTCAACCGCTTCCTGCTGAACCAGCCGAATTTCAGTCCATCAATGGCCAGCTTAAGGCAGGGTTTGAATCTAGGGGCCAGACAAAAGTTAGGAGCCGGGTTTTTTTTTTTGTTTTGTTTTACTTACAAAGATTTATTTGCAACAACAAAACCCCTTTCTCTTTTGTCGCTCTTCTGTGTATCTTTACAAATGCATGACACAGGTTTACACACAGTTGTGCCTCTCAGCTTTTGTCTATTACCTTCTTCGGGTCCCTAAGAACTTAGTACATTTAAAATTGTAATAATTGAGGTGAATCACATACTGGGACTTGTAGTTCTATCATAGTCATCAATGGAGGTACAGTGCATGCTGGGACTTGTAGTCCCCCAGCAGCCCCTGCCCCCAGTGTACACACACCTAGGAGATATCCCTGTACCATTGGCAGCACACAGGTGTGTATTGCCCCATCATAGATGATACAGCACCCCTCCAGCCCAGTGTCAGGACTCCTGCTTGATTTGTCTTTCACCCGCTCCGGCCCCGTCCCTGCCCCTGGGACCCCTTAGGCCTGCTCTATTCCCCTGCTTCGCTTTTTAGGGGCTCAGCTTCCCCACTGACAGCCAATTAAAAGTGAGCGCCAGGCCTAGTAACCCCCGCCTCATCTAATTGCCGCCCGGATACTCCAGCCTGGCGGGCCGCTCAACCAATGGCAAGATGTGGTGGGTAGTAGCTGATGGCAGCCTCAGCGCCAACCTTAAAGCATGCAAGGTGGTGTCAGCAGTGAATGGGCTGCCCTGGCACCTGGGATTTGTCGAGCCCTGGTTCAAGGCATAGTTTAGTTTAAAGAAGTTTGCAAGGGGGAAGATGAGAATCCTTTGTGGCAGAATAGACTTAGTATGTATCTTTTGCAATAAAGAACCCTTCCTTCTAGCAAAGTTTTGAATTTACACAAAATTTTGGCTTTGAAGTTATTAAAACTCTTTTGCTTGTGAGGCCCCATGGTGACGTAAACCGTTTGCTGGTCTCAGGAAGATTTTAATGTGTTTCCCTTTTCCGCACTCTAGAGGAAGTTTTGTACTTCCTTTACAGTCTGGTTGTACTTTGTTGATTTGGATGCCGAAACTGAAAGTTCAGCTAAACAAAGAACCTTTTGTACAAAGTTTGTTGGAAAGGAAGTGTGCAGGAGGTACCTAGAGCAACTTGTTAAACGTAAGAGTGATTCCTATGGCAATCACAACAATTACATGTTCTCTGACCTGCTCCCCAGCACTCTCTGGAGCACTGGGCTATAGAGGGGGCGAGAGGAGCTGGTTCAGGCGTGCATCGCTGAGAGGCTGAGCCAGCTGCCAGTCCAGGGATCTCGGTGGATACCGACTTTAAAGTTGAGATCTTTCCCCAGCCCAGCCTGGACTGACTGAGTGACGTCAGCCGACAGCAGACTTTAGCCCGTTGGCGGCTAAATACAGGATGCAGGAGTGCAGAACAAACTAAGAAATACAGCCAAACAAGTTAAATTAAAATTTGGTGTTCTAACGAGTCCTTCTAATGATTGAGAGTGCTGAGTGCTCGTTATTGTACCTGTAACCATCCAGTATGTACGTGATGCTTGAATAGGGCTCATTGCTTGCTTTCATTGAGCTTGGAAAGCCAGTTTATTCTGCAATGGTTGTAGTAGTTGATGAGGCTCCACATTTGAGAAAATTGTGCAGTTCTAATACAGCCTTACACCAGATGGTGAGTATTTTCAGTTTATAAACCGATCGTTGTGCTTGTTCCTTGTAATGTTGAGCGTAGCGTAAGTCTCATTAACATTTTTTGCATTTTTCCATTCCTGTAACTGTTGCCTGGAGGAGTGGAGTGTTACATATTGCATTAGTCAGTTGTGGGGGTCAGCTGTCCTTCCCATCCTTGTAAAGGAAGGTAGGAAGAACAGTTCCCATAAGAGGCAGTTTCCTCCCTGCTCCTGTTATCCTGTCAGATTCAGCACAGAATCTGCAAGAATAGGAGGGGGAGTACACAGGAATGCCGTCCTCATACAAAAGTCCTGTTCATGCCACAGTGCCATAGACCCCCAGGACATTCATCTTCTATGTAGACTGAATAGTGGTGTTGGGGGGAAAAAGTTCAGAATCAGCAGAGGTCATGGAATTGAATCGCTTTCCTGTTTGAGTCTTTGCTAACTGACTAAACATGATCAAGTGTACAGTTTTAAAAGTGTACTTTAGTTGTCCCTTATGTGTAGATGGCTAATCATTTCACCAGTGTTGGTCAAGGCTGGCTGAACAGGTTACATATCTGTTTAAAATGTAATAGAATCAATAAGAACGACAGAATAACATCTTGAAATTCCATAGGAAAGCAACAGGCAATATAGCTCTGACTCTGGCACAGACACGTCACTAGCTGTTTTCCTAATGGAGGGATTTTTTTTTTTGGTCCCTGAAATGCGTTGAATGCCTGTTTTACTGTGAAATTAATAAAGGACTGTTCTCTATGGGGAGGCGGATGTAAACAGACATTTGTCGAACACCCACCTGCATCCAATCTGCTAAAAGCAGACTGACGGGGATCTGTTCCCCATCCGTCTTATCGAATCGGATGACAGTCGGATGTACTGTCGTCATGTCATGTTGCTCTATGTTTATTTTTTATCCTGAATGTGTTTTATTGTCAGCCGGGTGGTTATTGTATTTTTTATGCATGTAGATTAGGGACTTTACCAATAGGGTGGTATTTCTTTTGAACATACCTGTGCTAATGTTATATTATTTTATTTGATTTTGCACTATTTGCCCTATATTGGTTTGATGGTCAGCGGGTGTTTTGATTTATTTTTTATTCTTGAATTGGATCGATTTTGTGTGTTCTATACTGTTGTAATTTGGTGCTCATGCACTATATTTTAATATATATTTTTGAGTTTAAAGAGGATTGATTGACTCACAGGTTTGATGGTCAGCCGGGTGTTTGCTGTAACATCCATTTTTGCTTCACTTTATTGGTTTTTGATATATTTACTTTTTTTTTTTTGGTCTTTGTTATTCATGTACTCATAAGCATGTAACTCAAATGTAAATGGACAGGTGGTCTGTTTGCATTCCACACAATAGAAAAACAGAATGGCCTAGTGCATTACCTCAAAACATTTATTGTATAAAAAAAGTGGTAATATACTCACAAAGGATAACAGTGTCAAGGGCACATCTTATAAAATAGAGCTAGGTCTGGTCTCACTGAATGATATCCGTGATGGGATTCCTAGATCTCTGACCACTGACGCGGTTCGAGGACTTGCCTCTTCCTCAGAGCCAATACCGCACCATAGAGAACAGCAGGCTGTGTCCATGTCTGCTTTGTCATCCGCCTGCTTAGTGGAGATCAACAGACTGATCCTCCGATGAGCAGGCATATCCATTTGGCGGAGCC